GTGGGTTAGGGGCCTGTGGGGGGCCGTCTAAGGCGGAAGTGGGGGCTCCGGGGGTGGTGGCAGTGTTGGGGGTAGGTTTGGCTGGGTTAGATTGGACGGGGGCTGGAGCGAGAGGTTGAAGGAAGGAGAGAAGAGAGGTGAGGGGGTCAACAGCAGATCAGAGTGAGAAGGGAGGAAAGGAGTACTACACATCCTCAAGTTATTACAGTCATTTCTAGAGCGTGTAGGAGTAGAGTGATGCAGGATGGGGGGTTTTATAATTATAAATGGGATTTTTTCTTTTCAAATGTGGGAATATCGCGGAAAACCAGATCTGAGTTATTTACACTTTGTGTTACATCGACACTAGTGAAACCTCAAGAGCAGAGTCATTTCCAGGTGTAAGGACTCATTCCTGCACCACTCTATCCTGGATCCTTTTAGAAAAGTAGATTAGTTTCACACACACAGATGTTGTCGCTGGGAGAAGAGAACAGGAAGTGTGTGTTACCTGGGAATGCGTTGGGCGGGGCGGGGGTTGGCACGGCGATGGGTAGGACCACGCTGCCGCTGCCACTGTTCTCCCGGCTGCTGCTGCGGCTGCTGCTGGGATGGCTGCCTCCACTGCTCCCACTGCTGTGGGGGGGGGGGCACAACACACTCTGAAACACCGTCACTCACTCTGCTGGGAGACGCTCCGAGAGCAGGTCGTGCCTACCCTATTCTTTTATAAAAACTTAAGAGTGGAAAATGTAATATCTATTTGTTTAAAAATAGAGGTCTTTACCTACAAACTAAATTAAATCTTCACGTCTCAATGGTTTCAGGAGCTATGAATCAGAGCCACTTAACACAGGCACTTCCTGTTTGGGTTTCCATAGCAACTAAATAGATTCTGCAATTTAATCTCATGAGCTGCTTTTAAAAATTAAAACCACTCACAATGTCCTCGAGTTAATCTGTGTATTTATTGCGATGCTACTATGATTTTTAAGGATTTAATAAATTGAAAGGAGACATACATAAATGAAAAAAGGAGACTCTACAGAAATGCTTTATTAGTGTTTAAGATTAGCTGCCTGCATTATTAACCAAATTCAGTTTTGTTCTCTCAAATCATCTTCAAATCTTCTTTTTTCCCCCTTGTACCAACACAAGGCTGGAACAACAGAGTTCAGGAACAGAGTTCAGCACCTTCCCAATAACGCACATTATTAATGTGACACCCTCAAGAGCATGGATGTGTTAGTACAAGCTGTAATGCCTTTGAAATGGCTATGTCACAGTGATTTAAAAAAAGCAGCCTGGCCAAGGACACATGACACAGGTGACGCAGAGAGCGCCACGAGACAGACAGAAGAGGTGACACGCTGAGAGAGCAGGAAGCGAGGAGACACACAGGAATGACTCTTTGGGAGATGGAGAAAAGGAGCAGTGGATGGAGCAGGGCAGATACAGAGGAAACTGGGGAATTGTAGCTACAGCACAGAAGGGGCGCAAATTACGTACGTTTCCATGTTGTTGTCTTTACCTCCAAACTCATGATTTCACTTCTGCGATTAGCTCTTGGGTTCTAAGAGGTGTCCTGGGAGAGGAGCTGACATTGACAGTGGGGGCGACGCTGCTTATTGAATGACTATTACCATAGGAACCTGCTGAACGTCTAGCCATGCTGAATACAGCTCTGAATACCTTCCTCATTCTCTGTGCTTATATGAGCGGCAAGAGAGTGGTGCGGTGATGGCGTGTTTTATAGGCCGACAGAAGATAGCATCGCAAGGGGTCCTTCGAAAAAAAAAAGCCAATGGGATTTTACATTGGATTTTGGAATATTGCATAAAATAAACATGTTTATGATACTTACATGTTTTGTTCAGCAGGATATATTAACAGCACTATGATTTTAAACATAATTGCCAGAAGTAGAAAGCTAGCATTAGGCTATATATGAGCTACAACACGGTCACATGACTTCAAGTCAATGTGGCTAAGCTAAATGCGGCTAATGCTTGGCGAGATGACGCTTAGAATTCTTATTTAGGCGCTTGGTATCGAAGTTTCTGACATAGGTTATGTCGTGGAACGAAAAATGGTAAAATGCTAACTAATTTCCACATTGAAGGACTCATTCCTGCAGCACTATATGGACCATCCCTTGTAGCAGTAACTCTTGTAGAAAAAGGTTGGTCAAACGTTTTAAAAGAAAGAAGGGAGGAGAAGGGATTTCCAGTTCAGATTACAAGAAGGGGGAGGCTCGAGGAGAAGAAAAAGGAAAAGTGGGCGTGTTTAAGAAGAGTAGAGAGGCATGCTGGGAAGTGGGGGGTACCTGTACGTGCGGTTCCTCTGATTAACAGATGCAGTGCGTGCAGGGCTCTGCAGGGGGGGCGCCATGTTGCGCGTCGGGCTTGAGACGTAGTCGTTAGGGACAACGGGCGGACGCACCGGCTCGAGCGTCCTATAGGGGGAGTGGCGCCTGCGAGAGGGTCAGGAGGACAGGAGGCGAGGGAGAGGGGGGGGCATCCACAGAGAAGTGTAGGTAGGGGGGAGGAGGAGGGAGGAGAGCAAGAAAAAAAATAATAATATAAGTGCAAACTTAAAAAACGGGGTATGACAGGTGAACA